TAATTAGTGATTGCAGTCCTTAGCCGGATTTATCAGTTCTTAGAAATAAATCAATTACTGAGCGTAACAATTTGTTGCACTTAATCACGGAACACTGACAATAAACTTGCTTCCCGGTTATTGCATTATTCGTCTATATCCATCTCGTACAGACTTCTTGAAGTTATCAAGAAATTTATCACACGCCTGACGTAATTTGTAGCTCCCACGTACAATATCTCAGAATGGTGATACTTTGTTCCAATGGGGGGGAATCATTACGAGCTAGCCAGGTGCACAAAGGCTGGGAAATGGCTGGTGTCATTTTTCAATTACGCGCACCCATTGACCGTAAATTTAGAAACTCGTAAAACATCATATCCCAATAAATTGTCCAAGGACGCGGGGCTTTCGTTCGCGCAAAGGAGCCTCTCTGAGGAGATTATGAAAGCAATCGGGCGCTCACGCACACAGTGTGCATGCATACATCGAGTCGTAAATCTAAAAGCGAACTTAGCGCTGGGTTTTATGTTTCACTGCGTTTACGCTTCGTACATTACGTTTGTATTACTCAACAATGCGGAACGATTGGTTGTTCACGCGTTTCACCGTGATGTATAATAGCGTTCGATAATTAAGCTATTACTTCGATACACTTCTTTCAGTGCGTGCATTTTATTTTTTTTTCAAACGTTTATGATTAGTATCGTACAAAGTCAGGCGATCGGGCCGGTATTTTATTACGCTGTCAGTCTAGTCGACTGTCTACGGTTTCATTATTTAACATCCTTTCTCTTAATATGTTACAATTTGATAATTGAGAACCTATTCGGTTTTTGTTGTCTGTTCCAGGCGAGAAACCGTACCAGTGCACATGGGAGGGTTGCACGTGGAAATTCGCGCGTTCCGACGAATTAACGCGGCATTATCGCAAGCACACGGGCCAGAAGCCGTTCAAGTGCCATCTTTGTCAGCGATCGTTTTCGCGGAGCGATCACCTCTCGCTACACATGAAAAGGCACTGATAAAGAGGACCGACTGTCTAGCCCTGGCCATTAATCGCCGGGACTCGAGCGACAGATAAAGAGGAGGATGACCTCGATGAAATCGAGGATCGAATCCGTGATCGTGGACGACGTCGATGATTCTTTTTTTTTTACATTCGGGACCTGAAGAGCCTTAACGCGGCGTTTGGGAGTCGTTTTCAACCGAGGACCGAGCGCCGGAGGCGGAAACTAGGAAAAAATTAAAGGAACAAACGAATCGTTCATTAGGTTTATTAATGGACTCTAATGAAAGTATCATTGCGATTATCGATGGACGATCGTGCGAACCTGTAAGCAATCGCGACACACTCGTTGAAATTTCATTAATTCTATGTATTTTGTTGAGTCGCCTCTGTTTTTCTCGTGATCTTAGTTGTGGAGAAGTAGCGTGTAAGGATTGTTGATATTTAAAATTTACGATGAACATTTTATTTATTCTAGAAGCGTTATTTAAGAACACCGGGCGAAGCCTAGCTTCGCGACGGTGGAGAGAAGAGCCGGCGGATGAAACGCCGCTGCGATTGCTGCAGGTTCTCCGCGAACCAGCACGCGGTAACGCGTGCACTTCTGTTTTTATTTCTAGCCAATTTTTACTTGTTCGTATTTCCAGTTTGTTTCTCTTTTTTTGTACGATTAAATAAGGCCAGCTCAACTAGTCTAGAGCAGCATATGTATCGTCTATTGCGAAGAATAGAGCCAGTAAAGGGAAATATGAAGTAATATCGTTAAGGTAATTATACGCGGTTAAATATTAAGTAAAGAGAATATCGAACTCCGGTGACGGAGCTTGGGACTTAGCATGCTCAGTTAAATAAACTACAAACCGTGATCGTTAAGCGTTACATTTTTTAATGCATTAAATAGCGATTTATCAGATAAATGTGCACAAAGAATTTCGCGTTTAGGGACGGACAATCATCGATGTTTTCATTGTCTACGAAAGCAGGCAAGGGAATTTCACGCTCTGATAGCCAGTATTACGTGTACATTAAGCAATACGATCGAATATACTGTCGATGTCATCGCGATGCTTTTTCGAGTCTTTTTTCTCTAAAGCAAAATGAATTCTTCAATCTTACCGTTCTAAACGGTGTGCCGTTCGGTCTATACGTATTATACACAGACAAGGTGCCAAAGTAGAAGGTGCATACGTATTGTGCAAACGACGATACCCACTCATACGTTACGCTCAAACATAAGAATAGAAGAAAAGAAGAGAAAAGAAAAAAGCAGATTATTTTTTAAACGCTTTTTCATCTCGCTCGTCGCACGCGACGAAACAAATTTCTGCACATTTTATTTTGGCATCTGTTGCAAAACGAAACAGCTCAAGAAGTACACATTCGAAGTCAATAATAACGAAAACCTAAAGCTGGTTGAGAAGCAAGAACGTGGAATATTCTAGGAAAATCCTGAACGCACGTCTACGTTCCTCGTGGTTTAAAAAGAAGCTATTGAGAAAGTGCGTATATTGAAATACATATAATTGGTACATCGGTCAATGGACTATTTAATTCGTGTGTAACTAAATGCGTAGGCGAAACGAGTCTGAAAGTAACACGTTCAATAGAAAAAAGAGATTACGTATAGTCGTGACATATCGAAAAAGAAGGCATCGATTCTGCGCGTCGAAAGTGGAACCAGGCTATCCTCACGCGATACGTTATTTGAATGAAGCTGCTTACGGGAAAGGGTGAGTGGACGCACTTTTATACATAGATCGGTCCAACGGCTACAATATAAAAATCGTGGCCACGCGGCGTTATAGTTACGGTTTCATTTCCTGCCAACAGCTTAACGAGTGAAAGTTTCGCGTGGCGTTAGTCAGACGTATCGCACGAGAATCGGATAGCTAGCTTGTAAATAATTTAAAAACCTTGTGTAAACGACTTCTCCGTACGTACGGTACATGTATGTATACCATTCCCTCGTTTTCTTCGAACACGCGTCTCCTTTCTTTTCATTTTTCCTTTCCCACCGCGGAAGTAACGCGGCTAAGGGTAGTTAAAAGACGGAAAATTCTCTCGAACGCTAGTTGTAAACAAGATGATGGAACAAGATGCCAGTATATATTAGAGCCAGTTTATACCATTAAAAGATGAAGATAGAAGGAACCTCTATGAGTAAGATTAGCACGGAGATCGATGAATTAATAATTGTTACACGTTGTATTTTGATAGGGAATAGTGCCTTTTAACGTTAAGGAAGAGAACGCTGCGTTAGGCCTTAAGTATACTGCTAGTGCCTTAAGTCACGCGAATCTTCGTGCTTGTACACATTTCATAACGCGACCATTTGAATCCTCGTCCGGAGGACCAGTGAGATATATCAACCGTTGCTTTATTCGACCAATACTCGTGGAAATCGAGTAAAGAGATTCCGACTACGTTCATCTTAACGTTGTATCATGCCATTTCATGAGAATGAAATTTAACCGATGTTATTTTACTTCCTGTTCACCGACATAATTCTAAAGAGGATCAAGCTTGTCATATTTATTAAAAAAATTCGCTTTCACTGATACTTTGCGATTCCGAATATATTCTGAACGCAGCTTATTAGAAAAGACAAATTACTCATTGATGCGCTTTTACACACAATACATTTTTTATCAGACATATAAAACGAGTTCAGTTCGTTCGAGATCGGCCGCAATTTCTCATTTCTCGATGAAGTAAGCATCTGTTCCATTTGTGAGCACCGACGACTGATATCGAGCAAAGACCAATCGCGGCTGCTTCCTGGTCGAGCGTATGAATAAATTTCGTACGATCGTCACTGCGAAATTCAATCCGAAAATGTACGAGGTGCCACCCAGCATGCCACGCTCCACGATCTTGATGACTGATACCGTTGTACCTTTCCTGTAGTGAATTTCTTCACCGGAGCAGCCGTCAGTAATCTGAGCGTAGCGCGGGCGATGAGAAATGCATACTGACGTCATGCCGACACCCTCTTTGATCATTATCATTTTTTTCCACCGTCAGCTCGTGCCGGGTCGTACGCTCCTCGACGATGCATCCCGGCCGGCGTTGTACCTCCACCTCGGGACGATTCATTTCGGCTAATTGTCGACGGAACGATAAAACGATATCGCTTTCGGTTAACTCTTGACCGGACACGTACCCTCGCACACTGCGAAACGCCTCCTCGTTCTTCATCATTGGAATTTTCGAGCGAACTAGCGTACTGCCCCCCCTCTCTTCGGATCTCCATTAGTCGAGATTGATAACGATGAACTGCCATCCTCGATTCAGAAGGAAGTCTTTCTTCGTACAATGTACATTCCACTTTCATTGATAGTCTTCGTAAATAAGTGTTATTAAATTATTTTATTCAATTTTCGTGGGATACCCGTCTAAGTCACGATATACAGAATAGAGGGTTTTTTTTTTTTTTAAGAAGAAGTGCGATAGAAATTCTTCATGCATAAACATTCCCAGGCGCTGTAAAGACTGTGAAAAGCCAAATGGAACGGGTTGGCAATTCGCGTTTCACGCTTATGCGACGCTATTCAATTGAAAGAACCATCGGTGAAACAGGGAAGCGAGTAAAGGAGTACGATTTTCTATGAAAAGCCCCACCTTAGAGGAATTAGCATTTCAAGTGCCTTAACGGTCGTCAGCTGACAACTAACTAATCGAGGCTCGCACGTTCCAATTGAAGCCGCGTTCTGAGATCAACTGGACGTTTTCGGCTGACACATTTCGTGCGAAAATAGGGATATAAACCGGGAACAAAGACCAAGAACGAAGTGGGTCAGCGGAAATTTTCATTCAATTTTAATTCGTAACGTAAAGATTTATGAGTAGCAAACATAGCAGATTTTTATACACGGTTCTTAAGGGGCTAGGATAGTCACTTGACTTTTATAAGACTCGACGGTAAAATTTTGACGTTTTTTACTTTTTTTTGCATATATTATGCATAATAATGCAAAATGTGGGTTTACGGGAATATACTTTTCGTCCTTATATGAGAATATTTTCCGGTCGTCGGGTACCTCTTCAGGAAGAAGAAAATCCAATCTTGTGCGCTCTGGTTATTATTTAATCAGAATATGCTGATATTTAGTAATATGAGTGTTATAATATGGACGAAAAATCATAGCTACAATGCTTGTGTTTATAAGCGATTTTTTATTCAAAGCAGATTGTTTTTATTAAAATGATTTGAGTTACCTCTTTTTGAAGAGGTGCCTGACGACCAGAAAATATTCTCATATAAGGACGAAAAGTGTATTCCCGTAAATCCATACTTTTAGCTAATTTTGTGGGTAAAATTCACGGTCTACCTTATCGCGTAGCTATCGGAGTCTACCCCCTTAAAGGCTCGTCAAATCGTGCTCATTGGGTTTAAATTAACTATTACACAAAAGTTTTTAATTTAGATATCAATAGAGAATATGGTTTTCCGATAATATCTTTCAAAATTAGGAACTCCTTACGATCGGATCATTATTTGATAAGTATCGACGTACCTGAATTCGTTATTAGATTCTTGATTTCGTCACGTTGTTCTGCGTTCGCTACACGACTGTCGGGAAGAATTCCAGCGCGCGGTAATAATAATTTAAGAGATGCTTTTAACGAGCCGCGTTCGGTGTATGTTTAATGGCCACGCGAAGGATCGAGCGAGCCAACCTTCGAAAACGGTCTTATAAAAAAAGAGGAGAAGAAATCGCGATGCTTTTCGAATAACGCGGCTGACGGGTCGGCCTGTTAAACTAGGGATGATTTTCTACTCTTCGCTCCGAGGGTCAGTAAAATGATACACATAACGCATTCATACCAACGGCATACATCAAACTCACGCACACGTTATCGCAAACAACTACACGTATAAATTGCATCCTTAATCTACGATCGTGCGCGGTGCTCAATCTTTCTTGGTGCTTTCGTACGTTGAATGTGACGTGCGTACTTACATACGTATACATCAACGTGGACAATACGAGGTCGATTCTTAAAGATCCATTACGGAGAGTATAGTACGTGCATCGCTGCGAGAGGCGTGCACACGTGTTCGCGTCTAGGAGATGTCGATGAATCTGCACGGCCAGCAAAAATGCAACAGCTAATATAAAAGTAACAACGATTATTCATGGTCACGTGTAACGTTTTATTCATTGCCCGAAACAGCGCGCGACAACTTCGAATGCAAACGGACTTTCGAACTCGAGGAACGCGGCTGTCGAAAACAAACTTAATTGGCCAATAAAATTTCCTTTTACCGAAGGTAACGCGCCTTTTATGCGGTCCAAAAGAATCTCCGGCGATAAGAAACTACGTGAAGGGAACGATACGAGAGTTCCCGCGAAGATCACGAGAATTGAAATGGAGTGGAACGGAATTAATAGGGATGAACGCTAGCAAAGATAATAATATCACTTGTAAATAGTATGTAAAATTCTTCGTCGACGTCATTGGACATCCGTTGATGTCGGGAGAAGCGTGCGGATCAACGTTAGCATAATTTCTTTCGCAATACGTGTAACCAATGGGGGCCAGTAATTCTCTCTCTCTCTTTCTCTCTTTCTCTCTCTCTCGGATCTCGCACGGATTTTATACACTGCGAGGCGCGTGGCGTGCCCCATTTCTCCGCAATTTTTCGGCACAACACAAACACATATTAGATACACACTTAATTTGTTCCGACGCGCGGGCTTCTGGTTGGTTAATCATCATCGGCATTTCGTTCGAGTTTCGTGCGCGGAAACGCTTTCAGGTTCCTAGAACAGGTGTTAAACGATCGGCGTTTAACGGGGATACGAATATCGGGCCACGGGATCCAATGGCGAAACGATGGAATCTTTGGGCCTTCGACGTGTCTCTCCGTTGGACGGACAAAACACGCGAACGATCGACTCTCGTCGAAGTTGAAGTTCAAGGGGAATAACGGGGCGGTCTAACAGTCGCGCGCCACCAACTATTAATATTACTTTGTAAGAATTATTACTGTACATGTTGCGTAGGGTTGCGTAGGACCGATGATATAATGTATACATGCATATATTATAAACTACGACTCACTGTATAAACGAAGGCATTACTATAACTTTGTACTTTCTAATTACAATTAACCGCGTCGCTTAAGGACGGTCGCTGAAATTCGTATCGCGCACGTCGCCAGGGGAGGTTCGTTAGTGCATTAAAGGAAAAAATCTATATATATATTATATATATATAAATAAAAAATCTATATATATATATAGATAAATATAGTTATATATTGTAAATGTGGTTGTAATCTTATTACTGTTATATCGATATATCGATGTCTTTGATTTGGAATAATTTATTTATTGCGATGCGAACCGGAACGATGAGAGCGTGTAGTTATTATCCGTAAGGAGGGGGATAAGAGAAGAGCATAAAAGAAGAAACTAAGTAATAGCAGAATATTATTAATACGCACGAAATTATATATATTTATATAACGTTATCGGCGCGAGGACGCGTCTCAGAGGCGCGTACCGTCGCGCGAAAGTCCTAAAATGTGAATCACTGTTCGTGACGATACGGTTGAATGGATATTTAAATATTGTATATCGCGTTTCCTATTGTGGAAGTAAAAAAAAAAAAAATGAAAATTGTTGCGTCGCGAGGAGACGGTACGTGGCACCGCGCGCTTTAATAAAGCTGAACTAATTAGAATAATAACGTCGAAACGCAGCGCGATTGGTGCTACGCGCGCGTCTCCCGCGATACAGCATCGCGCCTGTCGATAATCTTATTATCGAAATGATGGTTACATATTTTAGATAATCCTATTATCATTATCATTATTACGATTCTTATTATAATTGCTACTATTACTATTATTATTGTATTTGGCAGGGTTACGACATTAAAATCGTAAAAAAGGCTAAGACTCTCGTTTTCGCATTCTTATCCCGCACCCTAAATATGTAATTAACGAGGATACCAGAATTCTAGATGGAATATTATCTCCTCAGATTGTTAGAGAGGAGGTTCTTATGTTTGAACTCCCACGCTGCGGAGCTACGGTGAGAATCACGTACCGGTTGTACGTGTTCGAAATCGATCAACGTCCGATCGAAAAATTATCGGCCGACGCGAGGAGCCGCAACCTTTTCCGAGGACGTTACCGGCCTCGCACCCATATAAATGCATCTGCATCCTCGTTAACGATTTACCCCGTTACACGGTAGTTAGACAACCGATGCCACGATAAATAAACCCGCGGAGCTGGTAGGAGACTGCGCGGATGTTTTGTGACAACCGGCCAGTCACAATACGATCATTAGGCTATTTTCCGGAGTGTAGCGCCCCGAGACGCAATATCTCTGCCGGGGCCGCGTATTTGTCCCGTCTGGCAACAGGATTTCTGCACACCGGTATTCCGCTAAGTTGTAGGCAGTCGCCGTACTAGGTAAGTACAAATCCTACCGTATATACCTTCGGGAGAATTTGTAGTCCGAACGGCGGCTATAACCGAGGCCATAACTTAAGCGGAATACCGTCCCGCTTGATTCCAGTCGTCGCCGGAATACCCTGTCGAGTCGGCGCAATTGTGGATATCAACGACGACATAACGTCCTTTCGCGTTGATCCCTCACTGTCCGGGGAACTTAATATGTAAGTAATCCTTCGTACCATCGTAAACGAAAGCGTGTCGACTCGGGCGAGTATAATTAATCGTTCACTTTTTACGACAATTCTTTCTTACTACGTCCTCGGATTTTTTGTTTTGTTTTCGCCGAAACCCGCGGCCAACGCGAACTTCCAACTGTTCGCGTCGTTGAATTAAGCAAACGCAGTTAGTTGCGCCAAGTTCTCGAGCAACGTTCGGAAAACGAGCGCCGGGAACAATGTCGGTTATGGTAGTAACGATAAGAAACTGGTACTTAGCATTGGCATCAAAGCCAGTGTTTTTCCAAATGACAGTGTTTATCGGCAGAAAAAACTGGGGCATGGCATATTTAGCAGAAGGACGAAAAACGCGTATTAGCTGGCAGGTATATATAAATTACCCTTTTACCTACAAGGTCCACGATAAAAACTAGTCACTTTATACCCACTGTTACAAGAAGTCTACTGTTTCTTAATTGTCTCGTGATAAAGATGGTAAAATATGAGTGTTGAAAAAATGATTCATCCGTTTATTATAGCGAACGACAAAAACTGATACTTGCGCTTTAAGCTTAGCTCTACTAATTGTAAGCGCGGCGAGGCTCAGTCGAGATCGTGACCGTCCATATAGATCATATCGTTAATTGAAAACGGTGAAGGGGCTGCTGTAACAATAACGAGATTCCGTGGAAAACGCATTCGCACGCCGCGGTTTCGAAACAACGATATCTGCATACTGTCTAGGAGCCGTGCGCACGGGAGCGATCGATCGTTGCGGCACGCATCCCTGAGTCGGACCTGCCC